GGCACATTATACCACCTTTAAATAAGCTAGTAAAATTTGTGATAGTGAAGGCGTGATACAAGGATATATAATTGGTGATTAGCTCAGGGCAGAAGGAGACATATCACGATTGTTTCGTAGACAATTGGTCAAAGGATCGGCTTCACTTATCTCTTTGACGAGTTGTAGTGTGGTGCTAAGACTGGCAATGCTCACTAACGATGCTGGCAAAACGTCTGGCAATGTATCACGTCCATGGTCTAACTCTAGAATTTATCATGCATACAATGAACTCCAGACTAGATGCGTTTCTCTAAGTCTTTCTACCAATATGACTAAGTTGCGAAAACGAAGTAATACAACTTCAATGTAAATATATATTATTATTTAGCGGAGGAGTATTAGATTTGGTCACTAAACAACCTATTTAATGCTATTACCTTACACACCACTTTGAGATAGATTTTGATCTTACGGCTATCTAGCCGTATGAATGATTTATTTCTTAGTCTATCAAACTAGTCTATATAATATTTCTCCTCTAAAGGTGGAATCCACATCAGGCGGCGGAAGACGAATTTGATGAGTTAGAGGATGAAGATATGGAAGAACATGAAGCTCTCCATGCCTTAACCGGACTCCCTGATGCTCGTGCTGCTGGACCTGAGAGAGGCCCTTCAATATTGACGCGAATTTCTCAAGATCTACCCGTTCTTGGAGTGGCGGCCTGGTCGGGTAGAATTTCGTCAACGCTGCTCCCCGAGTTCGCTTGCGCTATACTTTCTTCCAACCTCTGGCCTGGTGCCCACGCGGTGGCTAACTCATCAGGGTAGGTTGGCCTGTAAGGCATTGGTATTTAGCATAGCTGATAACTACCTATTTTGGCTTTACTTCATGCGATACGAGGAAAAGCAAAACTGAAGCAGTCGGCCTACGACTGTGCATAATGTAACAATCTGGAGATGGTACCATTCCTAATATGCTTTAAGGAGTATAATAATAATACTTAAATTATCCATCGATAGAAATTTCTTGAGGATTCAATTCTTTTACTATGTTTATTCCCTCTGATTTTGCAGCATCGTGGTGCCAAGAGCAATCCGAAGTTGAATGAATGAATTTGCTCTTAAAAGAAATAGAGGCTAATGTTTATGACACAAATTGATAATCACTATTGAGTATTATTATTATTATTATTACTTACCTCCAGCTACTTTTTATAGTCAAATGATCCACTTAGGCATCTCATGTTTTGGTTGGATATCCTATTTTTTATTTAAATGTTTGCTCAAAATTTAAGTTAATTGGCTGCAGGTGGAGCTTGAAAGGGATGCAATTTTGACCGAACAGCTGCATTCTCCCCTAAAACATTTATGCCTTTGATCCTGTAGTGTTACGGCATTTGATTGCGTTAGATTTCAAGCGTATTGTGTAAATGCAATGCTCTTGAAATGAGTGTGATGAGAGAGTAAAAACCAAATTTGAGCCTAATCAAGCCTCCTTCTGCTCAGTGGTACTTCTCGTTCTTCCAACAGCCGCAAGTAGTTTCCACTTACCTTCCTATACTCATTCCTTCTATTCAGGGTGTTGGCTATTTTGTTGATTTCTATCGCCTCCCTAATCCTTCGCTTACTAGTATAGGCTCCATATCCAGCTAAGCGTTTGCTATTAGACCAATCTATCTGGTTTCCTGTGCGACCCATGTGTTCGGCAAATTCCGATTTTTGGACCTACAGACCTTTGCAGGCTGTTTTATATTCAGATGGCCTCTTATGTATGGACTACATTCCTCTCCCAACATAAAATATTGTACCAGCTTGGCCTGGAGAGAGGGTCATAATATTCTCAAAAGGCAGGTATTACTAAGGAAAGTGTTATTTTCT